CCGTCCAGCCCACCCCCACTTTACTGTGCCAGAGCCAAAGACTCTTAGCATCAGGGCGCACATGCCCAGCCCTGCCACACTGATCCTGGTGAGGGCACCCAGAGCTGGCCATCAGCCCCCCTCTTCCACCAGAAACGGCAGTCAGTTACATGGAGGGGAGGATGGGTGCAGCAGGGCTTTGTCATCACGTACGTTGTTCTAATAGAAATGCACACGGCAGCCCGAGCTTTGTGACAGGCCCTTTTAGAAGACTTCTGCACAGTGAGAAATTGGAGAAAGCTTTCTTTCCTCAGCGGTGTCTGCCAGCCCTATCCTAAGCAGCCAGAGCCCAGACAGGCCCCAGCTGCAAAAAGGGAAGTGGAACACTCCCTCCTTCCGAGCCCACTAAATGGTCAGAGGAATCCAAGACGTGGTGCCCATCCACTGAATGCCTTTTACCCGTTTCTTCTTTCTCTCCAGAGCATTCCTATTCCCTCAGTCCACATTCAGACGCACACTCTTCTGTCAGCTACTTAAAGTCATTAAGTGAACTTAATTAGGTTCGTCAGTCCCTGAGGCTGGCAGGGCGGCAAATAAGGCATTATATTCACTGGCCATTACCAGTCTGTTGCCTGAATGAGATTGTGTATTTTCTGAGCTGTGCGTGACCTGCATCAGCATCTCCCAGGCAGAGATTTGCCCCATGAGACGAGGAGGCCCCCAATTCCAAGGCTGCCCCTCTAAACCTGGCCCACTGCCCCAGTGGCCACCTCCCAGAATCCCCCTGGGCAGGCTTTCAACAGACCTCTCTGTAAAGCTGAGCAAGACGGAGTCAGGGGTGCATTCTTTATGCAAAACCAGGCTCCAACCAAGATCTCCAGCCAAGTCTGTTCTAACAAGCTCCAAACCCCACTGGCTAGAAAAAAGGGAAGAAGTAACAACCACCCCTGCAATCAAAGGTGTCTTTTTTAGAGAAACAGAAAGAGCTGAGCAGGTGTGAACTGGGGAGGGGCAGGGAGTGAAACCCCCGCTGCTGGGGGCTGGACAGAGGGGCGCTCAGCTGTTGTGCTCTGAAATGGCACAGCTCAGCAAGGGAGCTGGACGAGCCCCGGCGAGCGGGCTCTTCCCTCCTCCTCCTGACCAGGCTGCCGCGGAGCAGGAGAACAAGGCTTCCTTCCTTCCCCACACAGAGCTAAGGCTTTGAGCAGGGGCCATGGAGTAATCTGTGTGCTCGCTCAAACCACCAGGCCCCCGCGATCCTGGTAGTAATGCTTTCTCTCAGACACAGAGCAGTCCATCTGGTATGCGTGTTAGAACTTGCCCTCAGATCCAGAGCGTTCTGCCTGGTATGTGCTAAAACCCGAGACCTGAGGCCGTGGCTGACTCTGGACAGTGGCTTGGTATCTGTACTTTTAGAGGACTCAACAGCAAAGAGTAGTTGGATCCGGACTCAGAGCCATGATGAAGTCTCACCCACCTCCAGTGAGGAGAGGGCGAGCAGAGCCAAGAGCAAACTCTTCACCTGAGGTTCAGGCAAAGACACACAACCAGGTACCGTCCAAAGTAAAGAAGCCTGAATCTGGGTGGCCCTGTGGCCGCCTGGTCTCTTAGCTGGTACCCGCACAGAAAAGCAGCTCCTAGATTGATTGTGTTGTCCCCTCCCTGCCCCATCATCCACCATCCCCAGACTGCATTCCCAGACTGTCTCTGCTTCACCCTGCCCTCCCCACTTCCCTGCATGGCCCACCTTTGTCCCACCTGTCCCTTCCCTGCAGCCTCCAGAGTCTGGAGCATTTGGGGAAGGATTGGCAGTGTGGCCTCCTGGATGGACAGAGGCAGCGTCGCATGTTTACATCTGATTTGACATCTGATTGAGTCTTCCCTGATTCTTATGAGTGTTCCTGACTCAAAATATGTGCAATTCCCAGTGTCAGTCAAACTCTCTTCAATAGCAGCTGCCACTGCCGTTGCCTCGCAGAGCACTTAAAAAACTTCTATTTAGAAACCATTCCAGCTCCAGCTTGCATCATGCCATCCATACTAAGGGGCCCAGTGGCTGGCTGAGAACTTTGCAGCTCTAATCTCTAAGTAGTAAAAGAGGAAGGTGGCGGGGGAGGCGGGGCCAGGGAGAGCAGAGAGGGGAGGGGAGACGTGCATTTAGGGGAAGGGCTTGTTCAGGGGAAAACAGAGATTTCAGCTCCCTCCCCATGCTCAACAGGCACACACATGTAGTGTGCTCGCTCAGGCATGCCAGGCCTCCCCAGGGGGTACTCCCAGGATGCAGCTCAGCTTTGAGGTCAGTGCCTGGCCTGGGCCCTTGGCCTGTAGAGGACGGACTAGGAGATGATGACCCGGAGTGGAGAACTGGAAAGATAGGCACAGGGCCCCCTACCCACTGCTGTGCACTCTGCCTCCCTGATGCTCCACCAGGGTACGTGATTCTTTCTCGGCACCCTCTCCAAGTAGCGCCAAGTGCCTGTTTTCTTGCTGCAAATCTCCCTAACCCTGGCAACTGCTGTAAAGAGAACAAGCAATATTAGGACACTGGTTTGCCACCTGGAAACCCTAGCCCTGGCTTGTCTGAGGTTACACAGGCTCCAGTTGGGAGTCATCTGTGGACCATGTCCTCCGTGGAGATTCAGGGAAACCATAGCTGTGACCTTGCCAAGACTCGTGGAGGAAACCCAGTGCAGGTGTGCAAGACATATGGGTCTCTCACCATCTTTACCTCCTCATACTCACACTCAAACACACACACTCTCACACACACACGCACACACACACATACACACTCACACACACACACACACACACACTCACACACTCACGACAGGTGCCAAGATCTGGCCGGACAAGTCTGGTGGGTTCTTGTGCTACGCTTCCCCCATGCACCGTCACCCAGCGTGCTCAGGTGTCCCAGAACAGGATTTGGGGATTCTCCTCTGGGCACTCTTCCTTCCATACCCAGCCAACCACCAGCCCTCCTTGCTGGTCTAGCCTGAGGCAGGGCAGGTAGACCCCATCATGGGAATGTGGCCTGAGGGCACCAGTGGGGTTGGCCATGAGTACAGCAGATCCAGGTGTTTCCTCTTTAAAATTGAGCCATATGTGGGCCCTCTAATTGTGACTTTCAAACAAGAAGGATTATTTGTGGTTGACCAGATTTCACGAGACAAGTGAAGGCATAGATGGATTTACCAAGTAATTCAGTTAAGAATAACCAATCACTAACCTCCTATTTAGATAAAAGTTGACGTTTAATTTCAAGTCTTTCCACCGCAGGAGGCAGGGATTCTTCGCAGGCCAGGAGTAACCACACCGGTATCTAGCCCTTCTGCGTGTTGATCTGAGGTCACCTGCTCGCAGGCTTCCAGCCCCTGTGGCAGTTCACTCGCTGACCGTAAAGCTTTGCTGTCTTCGCTGCACAGTGTTAGCGAACATTTTCTCCTTGTTTCTCTCCCATGTGCCTTTCCTCCCTCTGCTAACGTTCCATTTCCTGTGTTTCCATGGACCTCTCTGCCCTGCCTTCTCCACCCTGTCAGTCTCGCACACCTGCCAACCCTCCTGTTTTCTGCTCTTGCTCCCCCATGCTGCCAACTCTGTTGTCTTAGTTCCCTCTCTCCTTTTTCTGCCAGCTTTTTCAAGCTATGATTTACAAAGCATAAATTCACCTGTTTTAAGATTACACATCAGTGACTTTTAGCAAACATACAGAGTTGTGCCAAGAGCACCATGATCCAATTTCAGAATATCTTCATCACCCTAGATCTTTCTTGTGCTGGTTTACTGTCAATGCTGTTCCCATTTCCAGTCCTAGGCAACCTCTAATCCGCTTTCAGTCTCTATCAATTTGCCTATTCTATACATTTCATATAAATGGGATAATGTATGTGAATGGACTCATGAGGTTTTAATTATTGCCTGGCTTCTTTAACTTAGCATGATGTTTTTGAGATCCATCCATTTTATAGCCCGCAAAGGAGCCCGTTCTTTTTCATCAGAGAGCAGCATTCTATTGTTGGCCGTCTCACGCGTGGTTTATCTGTAACATGCGTGGACGGGCAGGCGTTTCCTCTCTTGATATTTTAATATCCACCCAGAGACTGCACAGTCTTTGGCAGGTCATTCTGGATTGACTTTCTGAAAGGTGAGAGAGATTTTTTCAGTTCTCAGGAAACTCACTTCACAGCAGGACAGGGCTGGTTGACTGACAGCTTTCCAGGAGGATGACTTCCTAGGAAACAAATGAACCAAAGGTATTTTCTGTTTATCCCACTCTAAAGCCTTCCCTGGCCACAGTCCCAGGACCTGACCCTCCAAGGCTATGAAAGAGATGGAAAGAAACAATATCTCATGGATTCACTGTTAACATTTATGGCCCACTCTGTGTTGCTTACAGACACCCCCAAGGATCATAGTCAAATCATTTGCTAGTTAACAATCAGTCGGGCACTGCACAGACCAACCCCAGTCACAACAGATATTGAACAAAACTCGGGATCCTTCAGACCCACACTTTGAGGGTTTAACCTCTCAGTTGCTAGATAATGAAAAAATTCGGGGGACTCCAGGGACAGAGCCAGGCTGCCTGAGGCAGCCAACAAGCAGAGGACACGCCAGGCAGAGGCTCTTTATCAGCTGGCACAGAAGCATCTCAGTATTTTAATAAGACCTCAGCACCCTCAACTGTGAAGCCTTGCCCGTCTGCACACCATGCACACCCAGACTCCAGGGAGCACAGGAGTCTCCTCAGAGTATCAAGGGGGCTGCTCTCAGGTCCCAGGCTCCCTATTCTACTAACCTACGGAGAAGTCCCTCAGAAAGGGAGGTGCTCTGTGCAGCAGTGGGGGAGATGTTCACTTCACCACTCTTGCCAGTTCTCTGTGACGAGGTGAGGCTGATAAAAATGACAGTCACAGGCCAGGTCGTCAGCACACATCTGGATCGTGCTGGATGCTGAATCCTAAGACCTGACCCACCCACACTGTTCCTCACACACACTCCTCTTGACACACGTACAGGTTCTGGCTGCAGATTGTCGCGTGGTGGGGACCAGGATCCAGAGCCACCGTGGCTTTCGACAATGTCTCCATCAGCCTGGACTGCTACCTCACCAGTGAGTGCCCCTGTCCCTGGCACCTGCCCCCGCCCCAGACTACCCCGGGCCTCACTGCCCCTCCTTGACCCAAGCCCAGCGGTCTCATCCACCCTCCCTGGGGGAAGCTCATCTCTCTGCTGTAAACTGAGCCTCACTTAACTCAGCCTGTGGGGTCTTCTCGTTCTAGTCAGTGGGGAGGACAAGTTGCCACAGAATACAGCACCCAAATCAAGAAATCTGTTTGAGAGAAACCCAAACAAGGAGCCAAAGCCCTGGGAAAATACACCGAGAGAGACCCCCATCTTTGACCCCACAGGTAAGGGTTCAACTTCTAAATTTGAGCAAAGTAATTTTTGGTTACACAGGTAAAAGGAAGATATGTGCTGTGATTGGGGTGAGGAGCTGTGCTTAAAGAATAAAATAGCTGACCTTTAGAAAGAATGTCACCTACACCCTGGCTGTTGGACGTCAAGAGGAAGCTGTTTGGTTGTCTTACTGCTGGGCAAATGGAGCTTCTGGAAGCTGTGCAAAGGAGCAGCTGTCTCTCGTGCCTGGGGAATACCCAGGCCCCAACACAAACACGAGGACAAAGCCGGTCCCCTCCTTTCTTTGACTGCTCCCCAGTTACTGCACAAAGCAAACCTTCCATCGATTTCTTCTCCTCATTAAGAGGGTTGGGCCCAAGGCCAAGTTATCTGTTGCACACAGGCAGGCTAGCTCATCATGGATAAAACCCTAAAGACTTCAGGTTCGATGCATTTCCTCAAAGCTTGGCTCCCCTCCAAAGCTGTTCGGTTCCGCATCTCCCGGGCTGAGAGGCTTCTCATGGGAGCCCTTGCTGCTCCAAACACAGGCCTCTTCAGCTTCTAACCCTAAACCATGGGTGTGACTTCTCAGCTACTCTATGTGCCAGAAGAAAATCTCTTGGAATCAGTCTCCAAACCCAGTATGAGGTCCGTCAGCGATTATTAGATCTGTGAGCCCCAGAGAAGCTGATGAAGGCCACCAGGCCCAACAGCAGCAGGCCCAGGGGTTCCCCCAAGTGATACTGGTGCCTGAGGATGCAAGGCTTCTTCCTGTGTGAGTCACCGCAGAAGCAGGTGTACAGCACACGGTCCACTCACACTCTTTTTCCTCTAAAAGATAGTTCTGTATTAAAACAACAATAGCTAAGTGGTAAATCTCTCATTTCTCCTTATAATATGAAATCTTTGTTTAGTGCAAAGTACCAAAACAAAGTAGAGGCTATACCATTGCACTGAACTCACTGACCCTCAACTTACTAAGTAAATATTAGCTTTGCTTTGTCTTTGAAGAAATCCTTTTTCCCTCCCCTAAAAAGCTGTCCCAGGACTAACTCTCATCCCTTCCAAGTCCTACCTGATCTCATCCAGCTCCCAAACCAGAGGAAAGAATTTGGTTGCTTTTCTAATCATCTCTCCCCTTTCCTCCCTTCACCTTGAACTAGAACCTCATTTTTCCACCCAAAGGGGAACCTGGCCTCCTAAACCGTCATCTCTGTTTCGCACTCTGCCTCATGGTTCACAAAAATGTCTAATATGTGGGAGGCAGCCTTCTGCCAGCACCCCTCTCCACCCCCTGCCCGGTGACTTGCCTCCATCACTGCCCAGCCGTTGGTCCACCACTGCCTCCCTGTGATTAATGCAGGTCTTGCCAAGCAAACATGTGGCAAGCCCCGCCCCGTCTCACCACCAGCACTGATTACATAGCAGGGACTCCAGAAACACGTATTGATCGACCGGTGAGCGATTGATGCTTGAGCTCAATCCTAAGATGTCAGCAGCGGCTCCCCTGCAGCCAACATTTAGGAGGCAGTCATCTGCCTTGCCTGACTCTGGTTTATTGCCAGATAACTCCCACTGCCCCTAAAAGACTGATCAGTAAGGATCTGCCCAGTGGCCACCCGGACTAATGAAATCTCACAGTGGCTCAAAAGCGGCGATGCTCCCCCACCACCTCCGAATAAAATCAGAAGCAAGTGGTTGCCTGAGAGGCTGGAGATGACAGTGGCTGAAACCCACGCTTCCTTTGCTGCCCGACCCCAGCCTTGAAACAGGGATGACAGCAAGTGGCTGTGGGTCAGTGTTTTGTCTGCAGACCCCCTTCCAGAGTGACCCCAACTCAAAAGGTAGAGGACACTGAGGCAAATACATCCCCAAGCAGCCTTACTAGGCTCTTTGGGAAGGCTTGGGAGACCCGAATAGAGCCAGTGCTTTCCCAGGAGCCCAGTGCCGCATCGGGGAGCTGCTGAGGTGAGGGATAAGTGGAGGCGGGCTCCCAACACCCCTCCCCTGCTGTGTTCCTGCAGCAGGAGGCATCCCGCCTTCTGATGGACCTGTTAGCCCCACCTTGCTGCAGACTCCTCGCAGAGCAGATTCGGGAGGATTAATGGGGAGAGAGGGAGCAGGGCCTCCTTTCCCCACCACCCACAGGATGAAGTCGACCAAGCCCCCAGAAGTGTCACTTGGCCAGGACTCAGCCTCCTGGTCAGGGAGAACAGGCCTCACCCTGGGTCCAGCCTGAGGCTCACCCTCTCGGCTTTAATCCAGACCCCCACGGTTCTTGCACAAGTTCCTCTGCGGGCGGTCCTGGCTCAGGTCAGGAGCTCAGAGAACTCAGTCTAGAAGAGGGGAGCATAAGGAGACAAAAGATTAGCCAATTAAGGGAGAGCCAGGTGCCTGCAGGGAGAGAAGTGCCCTGCGGAGGAGGGTCCTGGAGGAGGAGGGGTCCAGGCAGGCTCATGGAGAGGTCAAGGTCAGGGCTACACCCATTCAGAAAAAATCACCTGGCTTACCCTTGCCTGGCGCCTCCCACATGCCTGGGACTGCGCAGCTACAGCAGCGACTAGGGGAACCGGTACCCACTGTTCTGGAGCTTCCGGCCCATGGGAAGAGGGCAGCCTGTGAACCTCATGGCCTGTATCATGAAGCTTAACCCAACTCAGAGCTGCTACGTGGGAGGGCCCCCTGGAGAGGAAGGGTGCACTGGGGCCGGAGGGAAAGGAATAGAAGGAACAATAGGTAAGCAGGTCTGACCAGGGCTGGGCTGTCTCACATCCTCACGTGTCCTCCTCTAGTCCTCACTCTGGAACTCTGGCCCAGAGCTGGCGGCTGTTACTGGCACTACAGGGATCAGGGAGATGATGTGGAAGAACATAAGTGTCCCACAGCTGGTGGGGGAATGGGGCCAGGATGGGCCTCGAAGTACATTCCTCAGCCAATTGAGCTTCTTCGAGTATCCAGTTCTATCAGAGATCCGTGCTATCAACGGGGAAGAGCTGGGAGAGCATCCCAGACCAGAGCCCCTGCGTGATCAGTAAGCAGACCAGCTCCCAGCCATCCTGACAAAGGATGGGGGAGGCTGGATAATAAGATTTTCTCCCCAAAGTTCAGTGCTGTCAGTTTCTACTGGGCTGGAACAAAGGTGGCTTGTGGCATTTCATCTCTCCTGGCAGACATTAGAGCAGCTCCTAGCAATGCGCCACGTGAGGTCTTCTGAAAACCATCACTCACCAAGCTTCCACATTTCTAAACACTCCTCACATCCCCCAAGCCAGCCCTCCCCTCTGACGAGGGCCTGACACTCTGGGTCTGGGGGTTTCCCCACCCCCAGCCCACGAGGCAGAGCTGAGCCGCGGGAGCATCCAGGCAGGGAATAGCAGTCCAGGTGCTTCACGGAGCATTCTTGGAAGCCTCAGTCACTTCAGCTAATCAGATGAAGAAACGGAGAGAGAAAATGGGGCAAGTATTAAGGCTGGGGAAATTACATTTGTCAGTTTTGCACATACAATTACACTAACCAAATGGTTGGGATAATGCAATCACCGGGCTGCAGAGTTTCTCCCTCTCTCTCTCTCTAATGGGCAGTAATATTAGCAAGGAAGAGCTGCATGTGGCCTCTGCCACCTCTCTCTCTCTAAAAGCCCAGGTGAGGGCAGGTAGGACCCACAGAGCCAAATGACTCTGCCCTCAGCGTTCTTACCCCTCTCCCTTTCTCCTGTAAGCTCACACGTTGTGTAGGAGGGCAGGAGGGAATTAGCTCAACCCACAGGTATCTGTAACTTACAGAGCCCTGGCATCAAGCCACAGTCTTGCCTCGGGGTTGGTTGGTGACAATTGGTTTACTGTTTTCTAAATATATGTCTCTTGCCAAAGGTTGGGGTCGGGGAGTGGACAATTACAAATGGGTGGAGAAGAGCATTGGACCAGGAGTCAGAACCCCTGTGCACAGCCCTGGCTGGCCTGCAAACTTTGTTCCTGGGGAGGCTCCCGCCTCTGCCCAGCCTTCTGTGACCTCCTCTGATGTCTGGGGCATGTCAGCAAACCCGCAGTAACAGAGCTCATATGAGAGGGGCTAACTCAAACACCGACAAAGGCCAAAAAACTGCTACTTTTAAAGGTCAAAGTTTGAAGTAGACAGCCTCCAGGTCTCTCCCCGTCCACCCCCAGCGCCATGGTTCTAAGGGCTAAAGGGAGCCAGCGCTCTCCTGGGCCCATCTCTCTAACTAACCCATGGCACTGCTAATGTGCCCAGAAGTGAGGGGGACAGACTGCCCATTTCCACACATGCTCCTATGATTCAAGAGCAGATGCCAATTCCAATGAGAAAGTTTTATGTGTTTCACATAAATTGATTGGGTCTATTTCTGCTAAATGCATTATCCATTCACCACAGAACAACTATTAGAGTTAATAGAATTTGTAGCTGGAGCCATTATGTTCCAAGTACACCCTTCTGGGGATGACAGCATTATTGGAAGGCAGGATTCGCAGGGCCCAACTCCCCTCACTCAGAACCTGTCATCTCACTCGCTGGCGGTCTTTGCTTCCATCAGAAGCAGGCCCTGCAGGCCCAGTCAAGCTCCCTGCAGCAGCACACCCCGATAGTGAAGGGTCACCCAGATCCTAAAGACTTAAGTGTATCCTAGTCCCGTTCCAGAAACTCCTGTCTCCTTACCACCTGTCAGCACTGCAGACAGCCCCATGCCAGGCTGAGGGCAGAGAGGAAGCTGGGGTTCCCCTTTAGCCATGCCTCTTTACTGTGTGACAGTTTTGAAGGCAGAAGGCCCCAAAGTCATTGGGAGGACAGGGAACAAGTAAGGAGAGGAGGCCCACTCGCTCCATGGGGAACTCAGAGTAGACTCCTGGGTTCATGGCACCATTAACAGCTTTCCCCAGAAATAACCGGTGACAGAATCTGGGGCTGCATGAATGCAGCAGTGAGCAGATCAGCTGGCGGGGACCTAGATGCCACCAAGATTTTCTCCAAGTGTGTCCTCAAGTCATCTGCTTCTTG